GTGGTGTAAGATGAGTGGTGTCAGATGGGTGGTGTAAGATGAGTGGTGTAAGATGAGTGGTGTAAGATGGGTGGTGTATGATGGGTGGTGTAAGATGAGTAGTGTGATGAGTGGCGGGCGGCGGAGGCGGAGGCGGCGGAGGCGGCGGAGGCGGTGGAGGCGGCGGGCGCGGAGCGGCGGGTGCAGAGCGAAAAACAAGAACCCCACATAGTGATGTGGGGAAGACAAAAACACCGAACCTGTCGGCCCGGCCCCATCACTGTGGTTCTTCGGTTTTTTAATCTTCGGACCGGACCCTGTGCTTGCCAACTTTCTGCTATGGATTCCTGGATGGAGTGGCTTGCAGGATGAACGTGTCTGCCCTTCAGCCCATGGAACATAAATAGAAGCTTCGTGTGGGCTCATATTTCAGAACTTGCATGCTTCGAGCCTTTTTAGGGCCTCCTCCCGAGTCTCCGTCTGGACCTCCTGCCAAAACCAGCGCTACATGGCCAGAAAAAGGCATGACCAGTCTCCGTCGGCCTCCAGTGTCCCAGACTTGCAGCTTCACCGTCCGCCCCTCGATACCTAAGAAAAGCGAATCGGAGGGATAGAGGTGAATCGGAGGGAAGAAGCGGATGGTCGACCAGGCTTTGCACGTGATGTCAGGTGTCCCTGTTTTCAAACCAATGTTCATCATGAAAACGTCAATTTTCATGCATCAAGTTACGTTGAACCCAGATCCCCCAATGTTGAGTGTCCGTATTGAGAGCGCTCCCTTCTTGACTGACACTGATGGCGGTATAAACTGTTGGAAAAGCCGGAAACCAGCAGATGCTGCCACCAGCAGCGTAGGAAAATCATCAAGCAACTGGAACCTCTGGATCCAGGCGGTTGTCAGCCTGTTCCAGCTCAACCCCCTGAGTCATCAAACGATAAGAAGCCCCTCAACTCTCTTGGTTTCTAGCCAGAAATTGGTAGCCAAACAGGATTTGAATGTACTTGAAACATGCGACATAAATGAGCTGACCCAGTTCTCATGGTGGTTCTATATACTGTTTAGGTTTATATAGTTCTATTCTAATCGATTCTATCTACAATGTGTATGTGTATGTAATATAATGTGTATATATATATATTATATATACACAGATACACACACTGTGACACACACATACACTGTACTGCTTAAAGTCTTCACCACCCGCCAGTCCGCGACAAAGTGCTCAAAGTCTTCACCTGGGACAGATGTCACCCGTCGAGGAGAGGATTGGCCCTTCCTGGTGGTGGAGAAGGGCCCGATGGCTGTGTCTTGGGCAATGTCCCATGACCAGCAACAGTAGATTGTAGATGATGATGACGATGATGACGATGACTAGTACATAGTGGCATTATGTGGTTCGCTTGCTCTTTTGCTCAGTCTTCTACCGACTGTTACGGGTTTACTGGGACACACTGCTGTCTTTCTTGTGTCTTTGAATTCTCCTTCGGACGGAAAGAAACACCCCAAAACAGCGGAAAGTGCAAGCCAACTCATCCGATCCAGGGAATCCTCACTGAGGTCGCATCCATTTCCCTTGCACTGGACCCGGTGTGTTGGCTGCAGATCCTGGATAGTTGTGTAGGGTAGTCCAGCCAGGACACCCAGACCGAATGGTCCTGGTAAGTATGTTTCATATTTATATACTTATATATATATATAATATACACATATATACACTAGATATTCACTGGCCAGTGAACCTCTTGGATCATTTTGGATATCCCTTCAAAACATACGTCCTGGAAGATTGACATGGCACCTGAAAACCACTGGGTTGTAGAGGAATATGTTCTTCCAAAGATCCATTCTCAGGTTCCATATTAATTTTCCCAGGTGTACTCTGTCATTCCTTCCGCGCCTGGAAGTCCACGCCGATGGTGCTCTGATAGCTCTCTGAGAAGGTACCCTTCACATAGCGCGCCAACAGGGAGGTCTTTCCCACGTCCGCGTCGCCCGCGAGGACAATCTTGAAGAGGAGGTCGTAGTCACCTGTCGCGCTGTCTTTTTTTGGAAGAAAACACAAAGAAGCAGTTGGGGTTCTATCATAGTCTGGGGGTGGAACCCGCGGTTGACGACCCAGATGAATGCAATTGTTTTTGGCTTTTGGGACATCCGGTGCTCCTGAAATGTCTACCCTGCAAGGGAGCACCAATTTGCTGTTTTAGGGTCCTGGAGGATTGAACATCGAAAGATTTGGAGCAACCATCATATGGCCCTGGGTCAAAATACCTGGAAGGTCTTTCGCTAGATAGCAGACTGGTCGGGCTACATCCATTTCTGATGTCCTATGTGTAATCAGCTGGATTCCGATCCTTGTGTTTTTCTTAAGCTTCATCACTTCCCATCGACCGTACGCGGCGTGGCTCCATCAGCTTTAAGCTTTCCATGCGCTTTCTGGGCCCTGATGGCATCTCTTTGCGACTGATTCTGTCATTATATTGATTCATTGCTCATCACTGCTGCATGTGTTTTTTTTTTAACAAAAAATGATGGTCTGAGAAATCCATCAAAAAATCCATCCCGGTGTCCCCCGAACTCCCCGATCGCCTCTGCTCATGTCGCCCGGCCTCGAAGAAGAAAGGATTTGGCATCACCGGGTCGCGGATGGGCTGTTAACAGGCTTTATCTACAAGTAGTAAGACCCGAACCAAGGGGGGTTGCTATCTGTAAGAGCTCCATATTGAAAGATACGCACCCAAGTTAGTGGCTCGCAGGCTGTTCCAGCGCCCAACCCGCGGCGCTTCAGCCGTACCATCTCTGTGGGTCTGGTGCACCTGTTCCAACCGACCTCGACTCCGTCCAACCAGTCCCGGTCGCACCGGTCCGACCCCTCGAACCCCGACCTCGAGAGGAACACCGCCGGAGGGGGGTGGTGATGTGAACCTCATGGTGTCGGAAGCGGAGGTGGACATGGCGAACAGAAGCCAACCGATGCGGGCTGCGGTCGGCGGGAAGAACTGAAGGCGTGGCTGGACACAGGAACTGATGAGATGTATGTCAATGATTGCTGCCTTGTTGAGTGGCTGGACACAGGGCGCGCCAAAACAAAGCCCCAGTTCGTCTGCTTGAGGGAGCACGTGCATAGCTAAAGACTAGACTACAGACTATAAGATCTCTAGCTAGGATGCGGATTCCAAAGTTGCCGTAGCCGACCCCGTCGCCGACCCCGTTGACTTCCGTCATCCAACCAGTCGCCGGGAACCACCTGAGTCTCATTAACTGTGTACCAGTCGCCGGGAACCCCTCAAACCAACACGTTCAAACACATGTTCAGACTTATCAAATGGTCCAAACCAATGGCTCCGGACTCATTCCCAGCCTTTCTCCAGTAAATCCCCAAGTATGCCCTCGGCCCCAAAACCGCCCGAAACCCACATCCCCTCGCCGGAGCTGCCTTCGGATTGGTGCCCGTTCCGAATGACGACCCTCTCAGAGATGTCATTTACCAGCATGATGGTGAAAAAAGTGTGTTTTGAGTAAATGTGCCACACTGCAACGAAATACTATGGTTCTTGAGACAGCTATCGAAGCTGTTACAGTAACTGGCATGATTGAAGAAAAACGGACAGTGATGTGGATGTGTCTATCAATCCTACAGTACGTGGCAAATGAAGAAAGCCTCCTTGAGGTTCTCCAGTTCTCATCTGCGCTTTTATATGTTGGCTCCACAATGGCTGCGGCCAGGAGTGACACACGAAACATTATGCCATCATTCCTTTGACGATCTTTGACGTCACTCTGAAACGCAGGATGCCTTCCGCCATTCCCTGCGTCCTCGTCTGGTGCTCCACCCTTTTCTGAGGGAAAAATCTCCAAGCAGTGGACACTTGGCCTGGTGAAAACCAGGTCGCAACCAGAAACAAATGGATGTTCCCACAAACAATCACTTGGATTTGTTGTGGAGCATCTCAATCCCATATTGCAACAACAATGTGTTTCTCCAACTTCTAGAGGGGATATGTGTCAGAATAGGGAGACCGCCAGATCAGTCCAGTTCAACGCTCTTTCCAGAAGGAAAACCAACATCATTGCTGCGGGGGTCTCCCCTGGGACACAATATACATCCAAATGAATAACAATGAAGTGGACAACGGCCTGCGCTTGCAACATGATCCTAACATATCCTAACAGACATGAACTGCTTGACGTGTCGCCAGCTGCACAAGCACCGCTGCACAAATTGCCATGCCATGGCCATAGGATGCTATCATGCACTCATCTGGTTGTGCTACCCCTCCAAATGTGCCAAAATGCACCATCATGCACAATCACATGAGTCGAGGTCTCATCCATCTTCTTTCATCGCAGGGCTTCTCGAAGTCCCACCCTTAGTCAGGTATCCCCTTGGAACTCATCAGTCTTGGCAATTCTTGGCAGTGCGTTCTCAAGGGCACCGCGAGACGCGCCAACGACGGGATCTCTCGCGACCCACGCGAGAGGTCAGCGCACCTGCGCGTCCAATTCGGCCTTCTTGGTTCGAGCCTTCTGCAGTTCCTGGGAGGAATCGCGCAGAGAAAGAAACACGGTCTGGATGATGGCGTTGTGATTTTGTTTGCAGCATTCAGGTATGAAAACATGACTTCGGAGAACGATTCGGTGGTGAACTGGTGAACAGATAAAGCAAAGCCTTGTACCTCTACTAATTACCTTGTACTCTACCTGTGACCTTGTGCTGACTGTAGAGGGGCTCATCCTCCTCCTAGCTTGTACGGACTAGTACCTCCTATACCTTGTTTCAATACACTACCCTGTCACGGTCCCACACTACCCCAGCCCCGAAGTTCCACATGTCGCATAATCATAATCGTCCCATGTTTAGGGAACAAGAAGTCTTCCCTTCTGATTCATGTCTCCTTGGCCTCGCAAAACCGAAGTGCTTCCCTATATATAGCATTATATATTGTATATCGATCTCTGACGCTCCTCTGTCACCTTACGCCTCCACGCCCGACCTCGCTTCCCACCACCCTCAAAAGACCCCGCGACCGGCCCCTATCCTGGTCCATCGAGGCGAAGAAGGACTGCACCCGCTTCGACTCGTCGGTCGCCTGGCGGAGCTGCTTCTCATCCGCCTGGCCGTCGGCGCTGCGGTCTCTCGGCCGGGCGTTTGGACCCGTCCAACCCATGGGTCGGGGTACTCTCCGAGTCGCGGAAGCACGGAACGGAGCTGGGCCGGAGAAGACCATAAGAGATGGGGGGGATTTGATAGGAATTTGGCCCTGCTCACTGAGACAACCATGGGGAATGCATTCTGTTCTATGCCGTACCCGCCGCCGACCGGTCCGGACGGGCTTTTCAGTGCAAGGCGAAGAACTCTTTTCATTGATGATGTGTGTTGACCAAAGGTTGTGGATGTCGAAGAACCTGTTCGAAGACAACTTCTCTTTTTTTGGTTTTGTGGTTTCCCTACTCGTTCGTATCATAATCCATCATAATCCACTCTGGACACAGCATTGGGAACAAATGAAACCTGTCCGATTGGGTCATAGTACCTTAGCACGATTCTTCGCCTGTCTCCACAAATCGGGAAAGCAATGGAGGTGATTGTTCAAGGATTTTCTTGATTAGTATAACGATGGTCTACGAAAGTTGGGGGTCGGTTGAGGAAATGTTTGCAAGCCTCTCATGTGGAAAGCAGCCAATGACTCGCTCACGGCCTCCGTTGGATGAACAGTCTCTAGTCCGTAAAAATGTTTACTTCCGAAAATGGCGTCGAAAATAATGAGTTTGCACTTCTTACTGGCTTGCGACGCTTTCCAGTACGGATGTAATTTAAACCAAGTTCGTCTTACAGTCTTACATCATCAAACATTTTTTTCAAGACTTCGTGCTCAATATTCACGGCTCTGTTTATTTCATTCCCCAAATACACAGCCTCAAAATCCTTGTTTAAAGGAGTCCCGTCATGGAGCAAGCATCGTTGTTCATGGCAACGGCTACATATGACTTGTTTGTGTTGAGTCCAAGGCCATATCCCTTGGAGATCTGTTCTGTAAGTCTCAGTAACTCATTCATCTTCCCCCTGGGAGTCGCTAGATGTAATTGCTTTGGTGAATGTGATCAACATCTATGATGCAAGTCATCACATATTATATATAGGAAGGGTTTTCATTCACGACGCTTGGGTTTTCATCTCGGAACAACCAAATTCGTCTCTGACAACAAACCTTGGCTTTTACATAGCAGTCAGCGACCGGTACAGTAGCGCTGTGGGGAATGTTTAGAGTCAATATTGTAGCAATCGCTTCAAAGTAAGAAAGGAAAACAAATGAGCCGTTCTAAGGTGTCAAAAAACATCAAAAAACTGTGCGCGGCTTACAGGCGAAAGAAAGACATGTAGCACCTCTTGAGAGTACTGCTGTGGAGATCGTTCTTCGTATGAATGATACTAACATAATAATCTATATAGATGTTTATATATATATATAATATCGTCATGGCCTCTTGGTGCAATATACATATATATATATATGTATTATATCGTCATGGCCTCTTGGTGCAACAAGTTGTTGGTTGGTCTCTTGATTCCTGCCTTTTTTACCAGGTGTTTCCCTGGCAGGGGGAACTCATTCTGGGAACGTGTCTCTCGGATGTTCCCCCTTCCATGCACTTCCAGCTCTAGGAATGCATGTTGCACCAAAAGAACCTGCTACCTCAGGTCTCCAAAAGCTCAAACTTCTCCGAGGCTTGGACACAAATCAGATATTGTAAAATGTTCAAATCCAAAGCGTCCAGTCAAGATTACCTGAGGCTTTACATCCGGGTTTTGAAACTCCTCTGAGGGACTGGTTCAATTTCTTTGTCATTTCGTCCATCCGGCGAACGGCATGCGATTCTGCGATCCTCATATCTCTGAAAGATGCTCCCAACAAGGGGGCACCACTTGCCACCCTCAAGTCTACTCAGCAACCAGCCTCAAACACCAAATCCTTCCTCCAAAACGATAAAAATCGGTAAAATGATATAAACAGTGTTATAAGTTATAAGATGCATCTGTCTTAGAGATCGAAAATACAAAGAGCCGCCTGGATCCACCTGGTACGACAGAAAATCGACACAAGTGTAGACTCGAGCCCATTGATTAGGGAGGTTCTCGTTCTGTATTCTTGACAGTTTTGACACCTCCCCATCCAGCTCATCCGTTTTCATCTTCTTCCTCCAGCCTGGTCCATGTTCCTCATCAACTGCTCCAAGTCTTTCCCTCGTGTCTTCAACAGCTCCACCTCAGCCCATCCCAGTCGTCCATCCATGACGCAGCCACCCACTCCGGTCTTCACCCCTTGGAAATCATTGTCAGTCTTCTTTGCTCTTGGATCCATCCGGATCCATCCGAATTCTTCATCACAGTTCTTCCTTCTTCAGGTGAGAAGCAACAAAATGAGAAGCAGCAAGGCGGTCGGTCTTCGGTGTCAAGAAGAACCTAAATGCGTGGGTCTCTTACAAAGACCTACCTCACCCTCCCTTCAGTTATAGACCCTTAAGGCACTACACCATTGGTGGATACTTCTGACAAATCTGGGTGCAAACAGCCCTAGACTCTCCGACAGCCCAGCTGGCCCAGCTGCGTGCTCCGAGTGCCGCTTGACATCCAGGTTCGCCCGATCGAGGGCCTGCAATGTTGGGATGGGATCGTGGATGGGTGTGTCTCGACATACGGAGCAACCCAAGATCTGATGTGATCTGGTAACAAATCTATATAATGTATAAATATATATATATACACCATGTATAGTTATATATATATCATATCATATTACTAGAGCATCACAAGACTGATACTTGTACTGTATATTTTTTTCTTAATGCTTCTGGATACAATACACCGTGAACTTCTGGGACCCTCGTTGACTAGCTAGCACTCCGAGAAAAAGAAATAACATCCGTCCAGAGTCCAAGTCCAAAACATTAAATATATATATATATCTATCTTTAAAAAATCACATCACACTCTCTCTCTCTCTCTGCACTCTCTCCCCCCATTCCCACTTCAGCATCTCCCTCCCACTAAATCGACCGCCGGGACGCGCCCGCCACGCGCAAGTGTTTTGGCACGCCTCCTGTTGCTCCCGGAGCTGCTGACGGAGCTGCAGACGCTGATGACGGAGCTCTTGCAGTTCCATCCGCGCTGCCTTCCACCCCCCAGCCCACCCAGAAGCACAGGAAGAACCGCCGAAGCAACACGTTCGCACTGCACGTGGTGCATTAAAGAAGAAAAGAGAACAAGAAAACCGAGGAGATAGACTCAACTATATAGTGAAATAGAAAAGTAGATCCCCACGTAGAAAATGTATTGGAAAGCGTGCCACTATCTATTTGGGGACCACTCTAGACTCAACTAAAGATTGTCGCCTGACTTGTGGAATAGCTGGATTATCCTGGTGCACAAACCTGAACGTCTGCTCCCATTCTGTGCCGCTTCTGAGCGCAGCACCCCAATCTGCCGGGCCATTGCGACCACCTTCCCAGTGATCATGGCGGGTTATGGGCACTATTTGCAACCCTGAGGAAATCCCCGAAACGAATGAAGGCCCAATCCTCCATGCTCCAGATGAAAAGTATGGCACCAGGTGCCATGCTTCGGGCCTGATAGAACCCCAACAGCAACCAATTTTGGGATGTTCGCGGCCGAAGCGACTTGAGGCCTCGAGACCCTGATTTCACTCCATGTTGCAGATGCTTCGTGGAAGAGTTGCTTCAAAACAAAGGACAAGCATATCTCGCACACCCGTAATTAAAATATATAGCTCGCCACGCATAGTCATAGCACTTGAAACTTGAGACGTCCCTTTTTTACTTCAGGTGTGTTTGTTTGATTTTCAGGTGCGCCTCTTCTTTCACTCGGGCGGTTCATGGTCATGGTTCATCACATGAAACTGTCGATGATGTGATCAGAGTGTTTGAACACCACGTTCCCACGATCCAGACCAAGGTCAGTGTCGAACGTTGGCCAAGCGGGCCAAGCGGGCGCTGTGAATTCGCCCGTACTTGGGGTTTTGATTTTGACGAGTTTTGTATGGTTTTGTACCATCTCACACCCCTGTACCTGCCTGCACCTACCTGGTTCTTGAGGATTCCAATGTTGAATTCCGGATCTCATTGCCACCCATGTCCATCCTCCACCCCCCATATCCATTGCGGCAGCCTGAGGCTTGGAACCTGCAGCAAGGGCGCTGGACAAGCCCAAGGATCAAACATCAAACACCCTCTCCCGTGACGGTCAAACGCTCAAAGCGACCCGGCAACCCGACGCAACTGGCTCAGGCAGTAGGCGGAAACAGAATGAACTGTTGGTCGACATCAAGATCTGGCTGAAAACATGAAAACTCTCTCACAGACCTGACCACCCTACAAAAGGATACAAAAGGCACGTCCCATGTCTTCCCAGCAGCTGGCGCGGGGTTTTCCTCCCGGGTCATTCTGCGTGGGTCACGCCGGCCGTGGGCCACCCCCGCCGTCCACCGCCCTCGGTTCGCTGGGCGCCTGGGCCTTTCACCTCGGTGCCCCGTTCGGCTCACGTCGATGGTCCGGGCTGACGCTGTTTCAAACGCACCTCATTGAGGCTGTTTGAGCTTCCCAGGTATGGATGAGTGTGCTCCTCTATGTGGCACTTTTTTAGCGAAAGTGTGTTCGAGTAGACGGTCACGTTCGCTTTTGTCATCTTTTTTTCTCTTGTCTGTTGCGCTACAGAGGTGCTGGCACTTCATGATGCTTCGACTTTCGGAAAAGGGAGCTTGTTGACCGCCAAATGAGCTGACACGGGGCTCTCCCCATTTCAACACTCCAATGCACACCCGAGTCACCTGGATCCCCCATCTGCCATGAAGACTTAAATGTTTTGACTCGGCCAGACTTCCAAGAGAGGTTAGGTGACCTCATAGAGGACCCTACTCGGGTACCTATTTGGATTAGTCTATAAGCTTCTTCAACCTCTGTTGCTTGCTTGGTCGAAAAAACTTCTGTAGATCTCGCGAGATTCCCAACTGCGTCACCCGACGTCCCTACTACTCGTCCCGTTGAAGACGTCGCTCGTCTCAGCGTCCCGACTCCCAGCTTCTGCTCTGCGCTGGTGAACCTCAAAAATGAATCCCAAAAAACATGATGCAAGTCGGGCATTGGAAGGCAGCTTGAATCAAAGCCCCAAAGAATTCGAAGCACCAGGGGGGTCCTTGTTGAGATCTGAACATGCTGGTGCCCAAGGGTAGCTCCCGAGATTGTTGACCTGGTCCTGGCAGGCTCTGGTAGGCTGTGGCCAAGGTTCAAACAATCGCATGGTTCTGTTGAAAGACTGGATTCCAACTCCTGAAACCTCACCGCGTTTTCAACCAAAACCATTGTGACTGTTGGATAGAGAATACTCACTGAGACCCACTGGGCTCTTCCCACGCCGCATCCTTCTTCTTGGCCTCACGTTCCTGATTGCTGGCGCAACAAAGGCAGGAGCTTCCCGGCTTGGGAATCACAACATCCAAGTCGTGGAGAGCTTTGTTGGGCTGGTCTCAAATCCAGCTTTGCCTGGTCTAATGATGAAACAGCGCCAGGATCTGTCCAAACACAGAACAATCACAACTTCAGGATTGTCTCAAGCTCTGCTTGCAAACAAAAGGGACCAGGCTCTGATGAAACTGGCTATATCAGGCCATCCAGGCTGCCCGCCCTGCCAAAAGAACTGCCACCCACTCTACATCATCCCATCCGATCCCATCCCCAGGTGGCGCACCATGCGCTTCGCTTCCTTTTGCAGCTTCTGCAACTTCCGCTGCGAGGCCTCGCGGCTGCAGCATGGCAGCTTAGGGAAAACAATGCTTTTGGACGGGGAGGTGCTGCTTTACCCTAGAAAAGTGGTCTGGTCTGATGCCAGAAATGAAGGGAGATCGCCATCATCAAATCCCTCAAAAGAAATCCAGTTGATTCACCAACTCCGCTCAAACCTGCCGCAAAAAAACCAAGAAGTGTAGTGATCGGTTTAACACAAAAATCGACCAAAAAAAAAGCAACTCGAAAAGTCCATCCCCTCTTTCAGTGTCCCCACCTTCACCCGGTGTCCCACGCCAGCACGCAGCACCTGCTCTCCATCCCTGTCACCCCTGGGCGGCAGCACCACCACTTCACGGCTCTCGCTCAGCAGCTGCTCGTTGGAGCTGCGGCCCAAGCGTTGCCTCGGAGGCGTTAGGTGATTCAGCAGCTTCTGTCGAAGCTGAGACGTGATGACATCTGGAAGAATTCTATCGCATGATAACCCCATGAATCTACTATATATAGACCCCCAAATAGATGGAAAAGTAGATCCCCACTAAAAATGTATTTGGGGACCACTGTAAATAGGATCAAATAGGGATGTGTTCGGAATTGGAATGGTACAACCCCTGAAGCCAGCAACGCCATCTAAAAATAATGGCCTTGTGACGGTTCTCAGTTCTCGTTCTAGTCTATGCCCCGGAGACATATATAGACATGTGGCACGGTGACACCAATATTGACATGTTTTCATATGTTTCCAACTGATTGGGTGTTGAGTCTTCTACAGAGTAGATGTTCAAAGGACATCTTGGGGTCTGTGCCATCTACTCTGAAACCACTGTAAAAGAAGCAGAAGAGTCCCCTTCTCCTGAGACTCCAACTCCTCCTCGATCTTTGCCTTTACCTGCGCCTGGCCGCGTGAGACAGAGGAGATGAAGGTGGAGAAGCTGATGATGCAAAGCCCAAATCGAAGCGAGGCCCGGTGTACCAGCTCTGCCTTCATGGCTGCAATCTCCTCCACCTGGCCACCAGCATCTCGCTCGTTGGCTGAGAAGATGTTGGAAGGCTTGCAACTGCTTCAGAAGGTTCACGGAACCTTTACAAGGGTCCATCGAAAGGCGGATTCAATCCGGATTCTCCCCATCGAATCGCGTCAGCGAACCTCTTCGGTTCGGTGCGTGCGAACAGCGAGCTGTGAACATGTTCGCTGCCCGAGAAGCTGGCTTCTGCCCCTGGACGTGTGGTGGACGTGTGTCCATGGGTCCGATCTGCAAAACGCCAGCGGTGCGGAGCGCATCTGGAGGAAGGACACCGGCCTGATGGGCCAGGGACAGGACCGAAGCTGCTGGAGGACTGGAGGATACTGATACCAGCACCCTCCAACGTGCTTCCTGGCGACAACAGGTGCCCAGAAACCACCTGTTAGGGTCTGCAAACAGAGTGTTGGAGGGTGCAGGTACGCTTGGATGATAGTGAAGATGTGGTTTGCTTGTGGGTCATGGCACCCGGAGCCCTCAAAACCCTGCTAGGTTCACCTCCCCAGTGGTCTATGCTGTTCATTCTGTCGTCAACCTGTGCGACCCGTCATGTGGACTCCCCCATCCCCGACCTTCCAGGACCTTCCCGACCTCTGGGAGAACTCATTCTGGGTCACTGGGAAGGTCCTGGTATCAATGTTCCAAGGAAAAAGGAACGGAACCTGCCATGCAGCGATTCTCGGTCTCACACCCATCAACCTGAAAACCGACAGAAAACCCCCGCCAAGTGAGTGAAAAATCGCTTCCCCACAGGTTCCCCACAGGTTCCACCCAACTGCTGGTCAGTCAATCACCCCAGTCATGCCACGATTGGTCAATCATGGTCAGTCCTTCAAGCCATTCAACCGCAACCCCACGCGTCCTTCGGACGCACCATCGGACCGCGTCAGCACGAACACCGAGTGAACTCTGGGGCGCCGCAGCCGTTCGGTAGGTATCACAGCACCAGTCAAGTAGGGCTCCTCGGTGGGGTAAGGTGTTTCAGCCATCGGCATGTGCGCCTGCTCCCTCAATCACCCATTAGGCAGTTGACCAGGGGCAGGTGGAATCCTTTCTTGCAAAAAAAGAGTTGGTACAGCCACCAAGGTAAAAGCAACACCTGTGTGTCTGTGGTTTCTTTCCGCTAGAAGTGACCAAGTGACCAAATCCACCCATCCCACCCCTTTCCCACATGCTCTCCAAAGGAATCTTGCCTCCTCTGCTTTCCGCCTCCTTGCCATCTCCTGCAAATCAGAAACAAATCATCTCTCTCGTGGCGAGGGGCCAACAAAGGGTCGACATCTACAAGGGAGTCAAACTGAATGCAAGGTGAACACACCCAGGTTTTGCTTTTGAGACTTGTTGAAACGCATGTGTGCACTGTCCCTGGCCGTGGGCACAGTACAATCATGTCCTTTAAGAAAATAATTGGTCGATTTGGTGCCATATATCATATATATTTGTACCTGTTAGCCTATTGGTGGTACACTTGGGGGGGATCTCCTTTACTCATCAACCAAGCAAGCACAGGAGCTCAAAGGCATGCCTTTGGCCATCTACCAGGACCACAGCGTCAGGGTGCTTGAGTGTCCATGGACCCTGACACCTCTCAGGCGCTATGAATAGCCACCCCTTAAGGCTTAGGGATCGTAGGGGGGGTCCTCCTATGGGCCCAGTCTGCGAACGGTCCGTGCCTCCGCCCCCCTTGAATTCGCTGGCGGCTCCTGCATCAGTTGCTGCTCCAAGTCCTTCGCGTGAGCCTCGGTGCTCACCACCGGTGGAGTTCCATCAACCAGGTGAGGAGGACATGGGCTTTGACCATGGTTCACCCATGGTTCTTTTTGGGGCGGACCAAAACCCAAGCCCTCGCATTTTGGAGTATGCAGCTGTTTGTTGGGGACTCGCTCACATGGCACATGTCCTTTGAGGAACCTGTTGTTTACCATTGCGTTTAGAATTTAGAAAGAGCTGTGTGGGGGGGGGGCGGGGGTGTGTGATCACCTCTAGTTCCTGGGCGGTTCTCGGAGGGCCCAGTCACTCCCCCGACCGCACCGAATGCGAAATCCACATTTCGACTGACTGACCGCGTGAAGCGCGTGAAGAGCTTAAAGTTTATCTAAGAAGTTATGAACATACCTTTCGAGCATACCCCATACCCAAAATCATCATGTTTCATATATTTTGGTGGTATAAGAATGAAGGGTTTCTTATTATGTGGGTATAGCTCGAAAGATATGTTCAACCAGTGGTGCAGCAACGATGGTTAGGACAAAACAGTAAACATATGAGTGGGTCTTGTAGCCCATTGCCAGGAACAGTCATTAAAAGATGATATTTGAGATGATATTTGCCAGGCAACCTATGTAATCATCATCCACTGGGCCCTGATAATGGGATATACTCGACATATTGGGGTGGTGTATTCAAGCCAACAGGAAGACGCCCATATGAGCGATAGAATTTATGTCCGTTAAACTATCACATGGACCTTCCTTACCTCGTTCTCCAATCCCGCATCGTTTTTTGGTGTGTGATCTCGTTCTCCATTCCTGTATCTCGTTTTGGTGTGTGGATACCCATCTCGTTCTCGAGAGGTGTTCCTACCTCGTTTCACAAGCTAAACATGTCATTAACCAAACCCTTTCAAACAAATGGCGCATTTGATGCCCATCTCGTTCTCGGGGTGTTCCTACCTCGTTTCGCCAACTAAATCTGACATTGGGCTATAGAAAAGGAACGCCCCTAGACTAATCTTCACTACCGCAAATAAAAGCCGTTGCTCATATGTGCTGGCCCTGGCTACCGACCGGAGGAGACCCATCGATTGAGCACATCCAATCTCAGACCAGGAGTCACAGGAGTCACAGGCACAGGGGTTTTCAGACCCTGTGACAGGGGAGTTCATTTCAGCATACAGTGAAACGCCGGTTTTTGGTAGTGCATCTGCGAAGACGAACTCCATCTTAGATTTCCTTTCACCAGCATCTCTCAACCTGCCATCCTCTCTGAAAATTTGGATGTGGCTCCCAAGACATATCAAGAAATCAAACTCCCTCACTCTTCCCCTAGGATCCAAAAGTCTTAATTCCTCCAGTATGTCTTCTTGTCAGGCCTTCCTATGTCTTCTTATGGGAGAGGGTCTTCCTAAGGGACCGTCCTTGCCGTCCTCTCCACCTCGGTCGCGGTCGCCTCGGAGACGTCCAATGCGCCGGTCTTCTCAGCGGCCTCCTCCTCGGCCAGCGAGAGCCTCGGCACGGGAGCCCCGAACTCTCCACCCGGATCTCGACATATTCCTCTAGGAGCCTCGATCGGAGCCTGCTCTAGGCCCAGATGTGAGTGAGACTTGGCATTTGGAGAGTCACTTTGGCATTTGGAGATTCAGAGAAACTTGGTATGTTGCTTGGCATGGAAGGTCCGTAGAAAATCGCAACCTTGTTTTTTTTTCGTGACGCTGGTGAGGGCCCGTCAACCACTTGGGACGAACAATTTCCAAGAGGTTGACTCGCCAGAGATGAACATCTGGAGTGATGAAACATGGAGCCATATTTAATACTTAACATATTAAACATACTTGTGGACACTTGTGGAACATTCAAATGAACATCCTAGAGGCGTCCTGCTGAGTACGTAGTGTTCCAATCTTGTGAATACTCATCACCCAACAAGGTTTCATCATCAGCCTCCTCGACCAGCTGAGCCTGCCGGCTTTTCTTCCAGGCTGGCCAGTGCTGCCTGGGGCTTTCAGCCAACATTCAAGCCAGCCTTCAACTGACCCGTATGGGCCAATGGGAAATCAAATGAACGAGCCAATTCGTTGTGATGCTTGGGGTCAGGTCGTTCGTGTTCGTTGCCGGCGATCAGGTCTCCTTCACAGTACAGGACCGGACCAGCCCCACCTTGGTCTCTGCGGTCTGCAAAAGCGCCATCTTCTTCATGGTGTTCCTCGGCAGCACGAAGAACGGGCACACACACACACCTTCTTCCAATGGGAATATCCGTCACACCTGGTGTTAAGCAATATCAAGATTATAATTGATAGTTTATAAGTATACTAAGTACTACATACTAAGTACTACAGTACTGTAACGATCACTGACAATGAATCAATAAGACCGTGCTGGTGCCATCCGGTTTTCCATGACTTTTTTACAGCACCATCACCGTCTTCCGCTGTCCCGGTCCCGTGGCTCGAGGGCCCGGGTCCACGCGAGCTCCAGAGGTTCCAAGAGAGGTTGAGAGGCCCGAACTAGGACCCGTAGTGGTACTGTACATATGGGATGGGCGCCCTGGGCGGCTGTTGAACCTCTCTTGCTGAGAAAATCGCACTGGCATCCCAAACATGTCTTTTATATGGGGGGTCCTCATAAACTGGTGCCATCGAACCGCTGAAACCACCGTATGACCGTATGATACCGTATGTGTCTTATGTTGATATTGCACTAGGTGGTGGAACTCTTCCGCCAGCTTCTTCCATTTGCTTAGGTCATCTAGGATGCGCGTCACTCCTTCACATTCCTGTCACACTCTACCTTGGTGCCCCGGCAACTTGGCCTCCAGGTCTGCCACGGTGCGAGACATCTGCGAGGTCGCCTGCTGCGGAGGCATCGGCGGAGGGCCCTTCTGTCAGCTTAGAAGGCTCGACCGGAGGCCAAAAATGCCTCGACATCCTGGACTCGGCTTTTCTGTCTGGCGGTCCTGCGAGCCATTCGTTTTCCTCCGAGCCAAACACCCTCTGTGGGGTTGGTTGGTCCTTGGCACACCCATTCTGCCGGTCGTGGAGGTCAGCGGACGGTGGTGGCAATGAGGCCGGCGGTGTTTCGGACCTTCCCTTCCCCTTCCCTTGCACCTTCCTCACTGGTCGGACGGTGAGACCAACCAGGGGTGGAGAGGCTTCGGTACCTCGAACAATTCCATACCTCAGTGATCCCTATGAGCCATTGGCCCAACCAAAACCGGTGTCTTTCAGCCCTTGGAGTCCAAAGCCACCCTTTTTTCGCACCCTCTTGCTCTGGACATGCCTCCGAGATCCTTGACCGTGGTGCTTGGTTTTGGATCAGCGCCGGCTTCGTTCCGCACCCCAGGCCAACGCCTCCACAGCCTCCTTCTGAGAGAAGTCCTCCAGGGATGAACCCAACGGGGTCGTCGTGGATGCGCCGGGTCGATGTGGCGGGTCGAATGCGGTCGTCGTGGGATGCGGGCGGGTCCGGTGGAGATAGGGTCGTTTCACTTGAAAGGCAGAGTGACCGGGTTCACCAGCTTGGAGGAGGAGCACCCGGCTCTGAAGGGACTTGAGTGGCTAAAGTGAGGACTTCGCCTGTGGAATTGTCCGAGATCATCATCTACAGTCTTCCACTACACTACTTGCACCCCCAAAACTCCCCTTTGAACCTTGAAGATGGACCATATTAGATCTGGCTGACTCACCCTTGGCATCATGAAAAGGATGGATCAACGAAGGGAACCTGTGCGCACATTCCGGTGTGAGCAGTTGGGAGCACTCTCAGGTGGCCAGTGCTCTTCATGCCTCACGAAGAAAGCCTTCCATCGCTCCTCCTTCAGCGACTTCTCGGAAGTGTCATCCTGGCATTTCTGGCGGCTTCTCGGTCCCAGCACACATCAACGAAACGTCCGACGGGCCCTGCTTTTGGAGTGGGTTCCACATCCCTCAGATGCAAGCTGAACTCATTGTATCCAAAATCTTCAAACATCTCCCACCACCCTGGGAGTCCAAAACTCTCCCACCCTCCAACAGGTCTCCGTTGGAGGGTTGGGAAGGGCTCTAGCAGGTTTCAATTGGTGACCTGTATACGGTCGGCTCCTGGTGTTCCATCGGTCATGGTAGATCGGAGCACCTGATGTTCGGGACCTTCCGGGTGACCACCGTACTCTCAGCTCGAGCAGGCCGCACCTCCACGGCCTGGAGCACATCCTTCAAGGCCGACGCCCCGGGCGCGCCTCGTATAGAGCCGCGCGCTCCCCAAAGCACCGACTGGGAGACTGGATTCCCACCTTGTATATGTCATTAGTGTTATATAGTTTATGTTTAGTAGATCTTCATCCTTAGTTAGATGTCTAACTGGTGACATGGCAGTGCCTCGAACTGCTGGACTCTCCCAACCCAGACTGCAGAGTGGGAGACCCCTGGGCCCCACCACCACGGTGCTGAGCACCTGCTACGTTCAGTGCGGCCTGGGCGTTCAGTGCGGGCTGGACGTCCTTCTTCGCCACACAGAACTTATGATCAAGCCAAGGATGAGGGAGTTACTGGCTGAATGTATCCTCTGAGTGTGTGGATGGTGGATGAAATCCCACTTAAACAGGCAGTCACCAGCGAGGAAGTGGAATATAGACTGTTGCAAGGGCCGGCTGTACCCATCTGCATCAAGATACACCGTGGAAAATTAATATGGAACCTGAAAACCACTGGGTTGTAGAGGAAATAGTCTTCCAGTCTGGTCCATTTTCGGGTTCCATGTCAGTCTTCCCGGGTCCCCCGGGTGTAGTTTCCCTCAAAATATCACAAAGGTAAAAGCCATGCTGATGCCACCTCTCAGCCGGAATTGCGCCAAGTCCTGGCCGACGGCTGCGCATTGAAAGGGTGGCCAGTTCACGCCATTTGCACAAGGTCCAAACGCGGCGCTCTTTGGGAACTTGTTAATGGTGCGAATTGCTCCTCCTCATGGCTTCTGAGACTTGGCTGTGGGTCAAAACTGCAACATTGTAGGTTGACCACCAAGAATGAACAGAATAGACTACCTGGGAGGTTAACCTAGCCTGGTGAAAGGAGCTCCGGGTTTTGTCCCACAGCCAAATGCTGTTTTACAAAGCTTTGTCCCTCCCAGACCCTGGTCGCCCCTGCTTCGAAGCAGCACAGAGCGCGCTTAGAAAAAGCGCCCAGAGCCGAAGGCACACCATGGCGCCGGTCCGGTCGCCCCGGTCGCACACGGTCTGAGCCCAGGACCAATGAACCATCTTTGCCCCCTTGATATGTCCTACCCGTTGTGGGCGTCCTTTGTGACCACTATGCCGGCGTTCAGGGGGCTTTTGGAAGAGACATCCACTCCAAAGTCTCCAAAAATTACCCTGGTGGCCACATTCCAAGTCTGTGACATTGGCACCAAGAGTTCAGAGGGGCACCAAGAGTTTGGAGGAGCGCATAGATGCATAGACCTCATCATCTAGACTCTTGACTATATGTCTCAACAGGCCTGTTTTGAGGCCTTGGCAATCCAAATGCGGGGGATCCTTCATATAAGAAACTACATTAGACCACCGAAATCGGGACATCCTGTCACTGCAATCGCCGCATCGTTCCTTTTCCACTCCCCCGAACGTCGTCGCGTGGGAACACGCGCGACGGAACACTCCGTCGCCAACGGCACGGGGTCCTCAGCACGTCCAACTGCAACTGGGAATACTTATATATTTTGGTTACAGTAGTTTCAGAATAATTAGATGGAACAATCCCCAAGTTTGGTGTTTTATATGGACCCCCCATCTAAAAATCCTCTTGGGTGGTTGTGCCATATATTCTGCAATTGGTTGATATGATGGCGGGTCCAAACCGAGGGACCTTGGTTGACCACAGAAAAGGAAGAGACTCAACGAGACTCAGGAGGTCAGACCCAGGAGGTTTAGGGCTTCCAGGTTCGACTCACGGGTCAGACCCATAGAGTTCTCACACATGGGTTTTGGATGAAGTTCCCTTCGCCAGATGTTACAGCCCCCCCTATGAGGCGGCCCTCTCCCCATTCCCAAGACACATCCTACGAGAAATGAACAAATTCCTCAGAAAATTGGCTGGCAGGAATGAGAACCAACAAGTCCGGAGCCGGGAGACGTCATTCAGTCCATCCTCATACCACTCAGGTGCGTCTTCATGTGGACATTTGATGAGTAAAACCAAACCCCCGATATGGATATGATATTATCAAATAATTACTGTAATTAAAGTTATATAAAACTACAAAAACCCTTCTGGTGGGGGGTTGTTTCATCAACAGTCAACGTTCGACGGTGTAGGTTGTCGTTCTCTGCAACTTCGTCTTTGAGGAAGGTCTTCTCGCGCGCTCCCGTGACACAGGCACATGGAATGTCTGCAATTGTACGGCGGCCTTTTGCTGCCAAACCTTTGCCCGTCACTTGACGGGCTGCTGGTGCTGCAGGCGAGAAGCCAGGCAACTTGGGCATTCTGTGAAGCAGTGTGGCCTTGGGGGCCTTAAGTCGTACCCTGCAAGCCGTTCATCCTCGGGTCTGCTCGGACATCCCACAAAAAGCATCAAAAAGCCATGACTGTGAACGAATCCCCCTGTTCATCACTGTTTCAATATCAACCCTTTCCACGATGCCCACATCCACGGCAGCTGCAGCCCAACCCCACAGAAGGAGCTCAGGAGATTCACTCAGTCTTCTGCTTCTTGGCTGACGGCTCCTCAGCCTCCGCCTGCGAAGTAAAAAGGCTGAAATCCTTCCACTGGGGCACCGAGCTATTCTGAGATCTGTGCTTTTGGCTCGAAGCCGGGTTGTTTAGTCGTACCTCCTAGGACTTCAGACTGACGTCCAGTTATGAAGGAACCTGCTTCAAGCAAGAAGTTTGATGCGGAAGGTATGGATTCCTCCCACCGTTTCTCTGCCTCCTCACCAGCAACTAGTGCCATGTAGTGTTCTCCTAGCACCCATGGATCCAATTCCCCCCTAAGGGGCGGTTTGCACCGACCCAGCGTAGCCCCAACCTTTCAGCTTTCATTCCCCGGCGCACGAGTCGCTCGACCGGTCCCGCCTCCTCATCCTGCGCGGTTCGACGCGGGCGATGGCGGTGGCGGTTCTGGGTGGGGCGTCGTGGAGGTCGTGGCGACATGTCGGGCTTGTCCGGGTTGGAGGAAGGACCAACGGCACGAGCAGCGCACCCATGCGGCACCCAGAATTACATCTCGCTATTCACGATTCACAGGCTGTAGATCCCGGATGAAGCAGAAACCAAGAGACCTCTTCAGAGTGAAAGATCGATCCTCTTGGATGAACAGAGTCGATCGGCCCCTTTACATACCTGGTCAAACTCTGCCACCCGCAATCTTCCAGCATTCATCTGCAACTCTTCTTCTTTTTATTGTTATTGTTCTTTTTCTTCTTCTTCTGCTTCTTCTTCTTCTTCTTCTTCGTATGCCACGACTTTCCAAAAAGGTTCAAGCGACTATCCAACAGCAAACGAAGAACTCCCCTGAATTTCATAACTGGATGTTCACTTGCAACAGGCAAATGCTCGACACACAAAAAAAAACTACAGTAATCTTGTTCAAAAAAAAAGTAAAAATCTGACAAACCAAAGGCGCTAGCCCACGCCACTGAGACGACCTTTCCGTTCGACCATCCAAGTGTTCAGAAGTGTGAAAGAAGAAGCTTACCAGCAAGAAAACCCAACGATCGTCTTTTTTGACCATGTTTTTTTGTCACGTCTCATGGCAGTATGCTCCCATGCAGCGACCAAGTCCCCAAATGCCTCCACAACATCAACATCACCACAAGTATCAATCATGCCTTCAAGTGTCTACTGTTCAGTTATTGTTCCCAAAATGAATGCAGTTGCTGCTTGAGCATCACAGAGTCAGCACGAAACGTGCAAAGCAAATGGTTTCCCTTGCCAACCTACGACCCATGGCAATGCCTTCCAATGCCTCACCTCCTCCCTTCGGTGCTAAGCCTCGGTGACCCTCCAACCCTCCCATCAACTGGCCCAACACCACCCCTCGGGCCACCCGGAGACGTCGTCCAGCCTCTTCAGCCGACTCTTCTTCATCGGCTTCCAGGAAACCCTGGGCGCTGAGGTCGGCGCGCTGAGGCCGTCCCCAGGTCGAGGGGCCTACGGCCTTATGGTCTGAGGTCGTATGAAACGAATCGATTTGAGAGAACGAAGTCCGCCGGGGTAGTGGGGTGTGGGGCTGTTGGGTTTTGTATGAAGTTCCCCGGCTCTGGCAGCATTTTGGGTATTATGACAGGCCTTGATCCCGATCTGACCCCATCTTGGAACTCCAGACCTGTGTCACATCCTACAAACTCCAGGAATGTAAAAAGTCATCACCACCTCAGAGACCTGACCACACCGTGCCAGACCACCTTCTCGGAGGGTGCTCGTTTCAGTGCCCCACGACCGAACCGAAGAACTCCACCGAACCCGTCCGACCGAACGCGGCCGAGCCGGAAGAACGAGCGTTCTGATTGGGGCGCGGTGTCGATCAACCAAAGAAGCCACCCGGCCACGGTTTCTGATTGGGGGCGGTTCTGATTGGGTTTGTTTGAGGTGCATTTGTTCGAGTCAAACAAAATGGGCGACCAAGGTCCATCCTTCCTTTGTCTAGGAAAAACAGGCCACCCGGCACCGGATCAATCAAGCAGCTGGATCAGTTCTTCAAGCCACCTTCTCTGATCAAGCAGCTTTTCTCAATTCAATCAAATCTTCTAGAAAAGCACAGAAACGCCACCTTCTCTGATATCAGCAACTGGAAGTTCTTCAATATTATTAATAGCAGCTAGACACTTGTGAAACAATTCACCGTCACCGTGGTTGGGAAACCCCCCATCCAACGATCGCTGCCGCGCACCGCGACTCACTCACTCAGTCGGACCGGTGCCTCGTCGTCCTCCTCCATCATGTCTTCTTCCATGTCCTGGCAACAAGGATGCCATTAGGTGGAGGCCATCGCTACTAAGGTGGAGGCCATCGCTACGAGTAACAAAGCAGCTACGTCGTAACAGAAGCGAATCCTCGGCCAGAGGCCACGACATCTCGTGGCCCCGAGACGTTGCGTGCCAGGCAGCCGCTCGGCTCTGAATTTGCTACGCAGGACCAAGGCTCTGCTCACGGTTCAGCAGAAGCCACTTTCACTCGCCAGGCTACAGATATTGATGATCTAAATTGGCGTGTTCATGCCATGTTCCAAAAAAATCGGGCCGCTTCGCCTTCCAAAGGGAAGTCACGTGCCGCCAGCATCCTGTCTGGGTGTGGGATCTCCCAGGCCACGTCTCTCTCCGGGATGCTCTACATGGCAGGACACCCACAAGGTCGGATGCTCCACCTCCAACCATCGAATTCGCAGCATTCGCCCGAGGGCCAAGCTGCTGAGGCAGAAGCCGTGGAACACGGTGCACCCCCCATATGGGGGGGTCAGTGTCAGAAAGGAAGTCATAGCACCTATGTCGCAGTCCCTTAAAAGTTATATATATATATATATAGAGATTTATATAGTATCCGCCGACCCCGCCGTTGCAAGGGGGAGCGCGCCAGGGATTACGGGTAGCTGTTTGGGGGCTCATGGTAGCTGTTTGGGGGGCTCATGGGGGTAGCTAAGTTTGAAGAATCGAGGTTTTTTGGGGGTCAGAACTGGCGCCGTTTGCTAAGCTTCAAACCTTTCCCGGGACCCCTGGCGACATTTTGGTTCCGGAAGCGAGACAAATGGAAACAAACTTCTTGTTTTCTAGGGATTCAGAGGCAGCGTTTGGCAGCGAAAGTGCAACCAGGGGAGGTTCGACCAGAACTAGGCCAGGATGCGCGTGCAGCGTTTGGCACCGAAAGTGCGACCATGAGAGGCTCGTTTTGGACAAGAATTAGATGGGGAAACGTCGTGGCGGCGGCAGGTGTTCGGGGCCAGGATGGGCGCAAGAAAGGAAAGCAAAGTCTTTTT